TAGGAATGAGATATTGTTATCAAACTTGGTGTACAGCAAGCTTATATGAAGACCCTGGTTTGTATTGCAACTCTACCCCCTGGGGCCAAGGTCAAGGTCACCGTTACTAAAAATATAAAATGGTTTCCGGACAATAACTAAAGTTAGGAATGAGATATTGTAATTAAACTTGGTATATTGCAAGCTTATATGAAGACTCTGGTTGGTATTGCATCTGGACCCCCTGGGCCAAGGTCAAGGTCATCGTTACTAAAAATAGAAAATTGATTTCCGGACAATAACTAAAGTTAGGAATGAGATATTGTAATCAAACTTGGTATATAGCAAGCTTATATGAAGACCCCGGTTGGTATTGCATCTGGACCCCCTGGGGCCAAGGTCAAGGTCACCGTTACTAAAAATAGAAAAATGGTTTCCGGACAATAACTAAAGTTAGGAATGAGATATTGTAATAAAACTTGGCATATAGCAAGCTTATATGAAGACCCCGGTACACAGTGCTGATGGTACTTTATTTACTGTAGGTTTATTTCAAATTTTTTTTCAGACAACTTATTTTTCAAAAGTCAAAGTTGCTGGTGGGGGTATTAATCACCTTCAGTGATAGGTCTAGTTTTTTTTATAGATTTAACTCGTGTCCCACAAACAGTTTAACATGTGACATTTAACTTGTGGATATGTGCTTCCGTCTATTTGACACATTCATATTATAATTGTCTCATATGTACAATACACATACATCAAAACAACGTGTATATACGCCAATAAATACTTTGAAAGAACATTACCATTTATTTAAATTGACAGGTAAGAGGCACAAAAACAAAAACGATTCCAATTTAAAATACTAATTTGTTCCCACCACATCAATTTGACATCGATACGTGAGCATGTTTCCCATTTGTTTTATACTGCCATAGGGAAGAAGTTTAAAATGAAAAGAGCACTAGTGCATGCTGCTGAAAAAAAAAATTAATAAAATGGTAGAACAGGAAATAAAGATGGATAAGGTGTTGCGAAATTAAATATCTTCTTGTTTAGAGGGAAATTATACCTGAAACATGAATACAGTTTTACTTCTTTCTAAATCTTTTATGTTTAAATGGTGGTTTTAGAGCATGTTAGATGCTTGTTACAAGAAGAAAGTAGTGTTTGATGTGAATAATTTGTCATAAAAGTAGTAAAATGCAAACAAATAAGTATTTTGACTTCCATGCAAAAGACTTTAAACACTATAATTTAACTAGCGAAAAAAAAATCCGAAGAAAAAAAAGTTTCGGGTAATTTGTCAATGAGCAACGTTTTTGAAACTATCAAAGTACACAAAACATTAAAATGTTTTGTTTTTGTTTGTTTTTTTTTTATAAATGCATTATTTTGGCATAATAGGCATTTAAAATTACATAAATTTAATTAAATTTAGGTGTCTGTTAAAGCCTTCCATTATAAATTGATCGGCAAGATTTCAGCAATAATGGCCATGTATCCTCAAAGAATTTATGAAAAGAGTTTGTTGAAATACCCTTTTTGGATAATGATCTGTCTTTTCATATTCACTCACTATTCAACTTAATGTGCACATGAATCAGCACATTTTGAACACTTATAATAGCTTTTATATATTATCAAATTAAACAGATAAGAAATCAACAAAATGTAGACAATGTTGAAAAGCAAAATGGTGTATTTGATTTATGAGAATGATACTTATCGTTTGACTGAGGCTTCAACGTATTATGCACATTAGCATTTTAGTTTTGATTTAATAATATTTTATTGCAACTATCATTTAACATCAATACAAGTAAAGTTACATACAAAAACAGATATAAAGTGCAAATGGGTCGGGTTACAAGTTATTAGCAACAGCCCTCCCCACAACGTCATTGTTGAAGATATATAGTATAAACGACGCCAATCTACCACTGGCAGGAAAAATACTAACAATGCTAAGAAAGAAAGAAACTCATAAAAACAATAATAAACCCTTGCACATAAGTCTAAGAATGTATGAGGAAATGATGTTGGTATCTTTTTTTCGTTAGATTTAACTATTGTTTAGACCATAGATTGCTTACAGGGGATGGGGGAAAACTGGCGTGTGCCGCTTAAAATTCTGCAAGTATAATAATATTTGCATAAAACATTGGATCTTTTTAAAATTATTTTTGTAAAGTATTTCTCTGAAAAACTTATCGAATCAGTCGAATATTTGAATGAGTTTGTTTATTTCTTATTTGACTATTTCTTCTTCAATCCAAAAGTGTAACATGAACAAAGCAATGGCTGTTTTAACGCATTAACATAATTGTTATTTAACTTTTACCCAATAAAGTATTCTAGAAAGACGGATTAAAATGTCATTTCAAATTCCAATCTCTGATGAAATTGGTAGAGGATATCATAATGTTCAACGATAAGCATACAGACAATACCAAAACAAGTTTTTGATGTATAAGTTTCATGTGTAAATGTTACGATAGATAAAACTGAAATGTTGATTAAAAAGTATTCACAAAGTGCATGTATATAAATACACCATCAATTTGTAAATTTCAAACCGGATCTCCTTTCCAAACAATTTTAACTCGCGTGACCCACATAAATCAAAGGGGTACGGCACATACTTGTATTTTTAATAAAGCCGATTCAATGTGAATATATGTATGAAAAAATCATCCTTCCCACAAATATATATTATAGACAAGGAGAAGAGCTCGAGAGGTGTTGAACATTTTCACAAGCGCGTGTTAATGCCCTTTAGGTGGCGCTGTTTTGAATACTATTTGTTTTTTTGGCAAATTATTGGAAATAGCACCATAGTAAGGGCATTTCTCTCTCGAGTTCTTCCCCTTGTCTGTATTTACTTTGTGGGGGGGGGGGGGATTTTTCATACATATATCCACATTTCAAAAGATTCTAGGAAACAAAAAATTGGCTTAATAAAAATATCCATTCAAGTATGTGCGGTACCAATATGACATCATTATGTAAAAATCCTTGGCAAATAATCGGTATTCATAAAAACATATGGACAGTTTTTAGTCCCCTACCGGTTTACCGGAGGGGACTTTAGGTTTACCCTCCGTCCGTCTGTCCGTCCGTCAGTCCGTCCATCCGTCCGTCAGTCCGTCCGTCCACAAAACTGGATCCCGCGATAACGCAAAAAGTACTGAAAATATTTTAATGAAACTTGATATATGGATAGATGGCAGTATGGAGATTATGCACGTTTTTTTCTTTTCTTCCTATGTTGAATATTCTGGTTGCTATGGCAACAAATAGACTGAAAATATGGCAAATTTTACACATAACCTGGATCCCGCGATAATGCAAAAAGTACTGAAAATATTTTTATGAAACTTGATATATGGATAGATGGCAGTATGGAGATTATGCACGTCTTTTTCTTTTTTTTCCTATGCTGAAAATTCTGGTTGCTATGGCAACAAATAGACTGAAAATATGGCAAATTTTACACATAACCTGGATCCAGTGATAACGCAAAAAGTACTGAAAATATTTTTATGAAACTTAACATATGGGTAGATGGCAGTATGGAAATTATGCACATCCTTTTCTTATCTTCCTATGTTGAAAATTCTGGTTGCTATGGCAACAAATAGACTGAATTGCAAGATTTCTGATTCTAGTTTTTAAGTTTTTTCACTATAAGTTCTTTATTTCTTAAGGTATTTTTTAAACTTTAAATATAAGTTGCTAGTCATCAACCACATCATATGTGACAAGGTTTACAACTCTAGCACAAAATTTATCGGAATTACCTCCCTTGAACTTAAAATTTACATGAAACAAACATTGTTTTTTTTAATAACTTCTTTTTTTCTGAATGTATCTACTTCAAACTTCATATAAATGTTTCTTATTATCACTCAACATTTGTGAGTGTTCAATACTCTAGCAAGACTATTTCCAGAATTATGCCCCTTTTGAACTTAGACTTTTTTTTGAGAAATTGGTAATTTTTACTCCAACTTCTTCAATCATGATAGGATTTTCTTCAAACTCCCACATCATAATAATATGACAAGGTTTATAAATCTAGCATCCATATTTCCAGAATTATCTCCTCCTTAAACTTTTAATTTTTCCTATTTGTTCTTTTAACTTTCATTTACTTCAAATTCAAAATAAACATTCAATATTCATACCTTCATTACTAATTGTTCTTTGTTACACTCACATCATGTATGACATCGTTATCTCCTTTTTAAAAATTTTGCTTTTAAAAATGTTATATTTTGATAACAGGGATGTTTAAAAAATAACTTTAGAGTGTCCTTCAGTCCGTCTGTCTGTCTGTACATAAAAACTGTTTCCTGTGATCACTTTTAAAGAACATTTTCAACAAATTTACTTAAAATAGAAACATAACTGAATGGCCAGTGGCCCTTCAGAATGTTGCTTGGGCTCTTACCGGTAGGGGACTTATGGATTGCTTGCAATACTATGATAATTGCTCGTTTATACTGTATGTTGCTTTTATAATTCATTCGAAACATTTGTAATACTAACGAATTGGTCAATAGCCAATAAAAAAGCAACTTTTTTTAAAGATTGAACTAATTTATCTCAGCATGATAGTGAGAAATAAAGCAAAGTGTCACCTTTATACTGGTGGCTAAGGTTCATCACTTTTATACTGGTGGCAAAGGCTAATCACTTTGATACTGGTGGCAAAGGCTAATAATTTTAATACTGGATACTGATTATTCTGTGTTCACTTTCAAATTCCATCAAATTTGTGTTATATCACCGTAATTAAGCTACCTAAAACGTAATAAAAGGCTTCTTGAAAGTAATTGATAAAATTACAAGGCGTGACATCCATGTTACTGATAACAATTTCAGTGCATGTAATGACAAATATAAATTAAATGTTAAAATAACACAATCTTACACAGCACAATCTCTATTTCTCTCAATACATATAAGGATGCAAATATGAAGACTTTACAAAAAATATACTATAAACAAACAAGGCTTACAAAGGTTTATAAAAACAAAACATGCAAATCAATAATAACAAATTTGAAAAGTGTATGTTTAACCTCATGTAATAGCTTTAACTTAAGTATTTTTGGTTAATAGTTATATTTTACAAATTTATAAAACTTTAGAAATTTAGACATGTTTTTAGTGTACATGACATTTTGTAGTTTAACAACGTTTGGCGCTTGTTAATTAATATATACTTCTTTCAAAAAGCGTTTTTTTTTCTTCATTATATTGACAACATTCAAATAAATTCGTCAACAATTTTATTTTGACAATTTACACAAAACCTTTGGTTAATTGGTTCAATTACGCAATACTGTATATTGTTTGAAAGAAAGTGTAGTGAGTTGTTAGTAATTAAACACCCATTGTTTTTGTATATAATCACCGAATACCGGCTTAAGGATGTAAGAGGAATATAAATGACATGCTCATACATTGTAAATATTTATCCGCAATATCAAAATAAATATTCTAAACATAAATGATTGGACAAACATAGCACGTATTCGGTCTCTTTCGATAGTATGCTCTGACAGTCAAAATTCAATCAATTTTCAACAAGTTCGATGATGGATGTACAAACATTCTCCCAAGACGTTTTCGGTATATAATCATCGTTTTCCTTCATAAATAAAATTCGCGTCCTGTGTTCGTATAAATCCAGCATTTGACCATTCATCATTTCTATATCTATTTCATCCTTAACCATAAGAACAATAGGCTTTTCCAACAAGATAGCGTGATCAAATTCATTCCGACAATGTGCACTTTGGATGTAATGATCCGTTAAAAGAATCACCACTACAGACGATTTACGAAGAAACTTTGACATTTGCTCTGGAATTGGTCTGCCAATTTGAAAATGTTTGTCTCCTTCACAGACTAGATTACTGTCCTTCCCTACCGTTTGCTGAAGATTCTCATTTAATTGATTAAAGACGTACCTGCTGACAAAGTCGTCGTCGTTACTGCTGTATGAAAGAAACACAACAAATTTGTTTTCGTCGGCCCCCTCTCTAATGAGAGCAATGCGATCTTCCATTTCACGTTGATATTTTCGCTGCCTTTGGCATCTTCGTATTTTGAATAGAATTGCTACAACTGAAATTAATGCAAGAACAGATGCACAACATATTACGATGATCACTTTGGGTCTATTACATATCTCCTGTATTTCATTAATGGTGTTATCAGTAATAAATATTTTCTTAGAGTCCTTGTTATCACATTGTAGGCCAAGATTATATGTTGTGATTGAGGCTGAGTTTTTAAGCCATTTAACGAAAGCCAGGGAGTTACATTTGGAACACTGGATAAAGTTTCCTCGAAGAAGTAAATAAACATTCAATTTGTCAAATGTATCAAAGGTGACAGCATCTATGACTTGTATTCTATTTCTTCTAACATCTACTGTCCTGAGACTCTTTAAATGAATCACTTCACAAGAAAATTCAGTTATCTGATTGTCTGATATGTCTATGAATTCAAGTCTTAAATTGTATGCAAAAATGTATTTTGGAAGACGTGTTAATCCATTTGAAGCCAAACGTACACTTCTTAGATTAGAAAGGTTTTTGAACATATTTTCGAACAAGTTGAAATCTTCTGCCATCATACTGTTCAGTTTGTTTCTTGAGAGATCAATGTCTGACAGTAATATGAAACTTGAAATTGCATCCGGATGAAGGTAATGAATATTACATCCCGACAAATATACTTTTTTAAACGTGCATCCCGGTATATTAAGCTTTAAGTCCATTCTATTGAAATTGTTGTTTCCCAGATTGATCACTTCCAGTTTAAATCTATTGACTCCAAACACATACACTGTTATATTGTAAAAGGAAAAAGAGGACTGTTTTGAAAGGATTCCTGCCAGACTTAAATTACTGACGCTTTGTATGAAACGCAATGACTTCATCCAATAAAAGTTTATTGGTAAATTTTCGTTTCTTTCAAAAACTCTGTTGTCGACAGGACTAACTTGAGAAGGAACAACTGCATAACTGGCATCAATGGATTCAAGGTTTGGACATGGTCTCTGAAGAAGTTTCAAATCATTCTTATACTCATTTACCCTCACACTTGAAATATTTAAACGTTTCAAGTGAGCACAGTACGTAATAAAGGCTGTTAAGTTAAGAAATTTAATTTGTGTAGAACCTATATCGAGTTCTCTGACTTTTTTGTCGGCAATTAATTTGAAAAATCGCTCACTTAAGGTGATACCGGCATGATAACTAGCAAGAAAAGCTAAGTTTAGATACTGAAGCTTTGGTATAACATTATTGTTATCTATTGCATTCAGAACATCTTCCAAGTTTAATCTTCGACAACCTGATAAGTCTAAACGTTTTAGATTTTCTATACCAATAAATGAGTCAGGTGCAATTATTATTGTTGTTTCTAACTGTATATGTAACACTTCTAAATTGTTTAATCCAGAGAAACAAAGCGAATCGAAAACTGCTACTGTATCATGTTCATCGAGCCACTCCTTACTGGCAGAAATTTCAAGTTTTGTGATTTGCCGCCAATTATATGTCGAAAATAATCCTTTGCTCAATGTTCTTTCCAATATATTTATGAGACTGACTGTCCTCGTGCCGACCGGAATATCCGCCGGGATATAATTGCAGGTGATTTCAGCATTTCGTATGTTGCAACTTTTAGAATCAGACGAAGTAGATGAGGTGCCATAAACACCAACAAAGAGAACATTGATATAAATGCAAAACACATATGCAAAATATTTAACCTGTATATTCATCTTTTGTGCATCTGTAACTCACAGAATGCTATTTACTTGTTATTAGTTATACTCCAGAGTTTAAAAGAATAAATGACGTTTTAAAGCGTAACTCCGAAGCCTTTAACGTTTAGACGTATTGTCTGATAAGTATGGCTGTGTCATTCAACATAATAGGGTATCATATGTTTTATTGCAAACTTCCGTGTGTGTGACTTAAAGTTTATAAAGAATGTCTGGCAGACGATAGCTGACCGTATCAATTGATTAAAATATAATCCTTAATATCATGCTCAACAAAACTTGCGTAAATTTCCGACTTTAAACACAGTATTTTGGCATATTTTTGATATAAGGAAACCGGGATAAAAATAAATTTTTGGACCAGAAGTAAATTTTACTTTATTGTAATTATAAAATATCCAGTAATAAGACGACAAAAGACAGTATATTTGTGATCTTTTACCAAGCAAAGATAAATTTAATAACAGAATTCTTAACATGTTATTACTCTTCCATCTTATCTCAGCTATCATAATATTACAATCGGAACATCTCGGCTTCTGTCAATAATTATCGAAGTTATTATGATAAACTATTATATAACTGATATTTTTATTAATATCCAAAGTTTTACGGAAAATGCCGAGAAGATGCAATTTTATTATATACTTATAAATGAAATATTGAGAAATATTGATGAAATAAAATGCGTATTTTCATTTTCCGTATTTTCACTGTAAATATTTATTTTTCACTGCAGTGAAACATATTTTCCGTATTTTCACTGGTGTCTTGCCGGACTACTTTCTTTTAAATTCTACCAGTACACAAAATTTAAGGGAAAGTTTTTCAAATTTTATCGCAAAAAAGAGAAAAATGTACATAATAAACAGAAAATTCAAGTTTTTTCTATAAATACATGATTTATTTTCATCTTGTGGCGTGAAAATTACCATATTTCACTCGTGGCTACCGCCACTCATGAAATATTTATTTTCATACCACTCGATGAATATATATCATGTATTTATAGAAAAAACTTGAATATCCTCTATGTATCATATAAATGTTATATTTTTTTGTTTTAATAAATTCTTCGTTTTCTGTAATATTTTTGTTACAAGAAGAAAATAAAGACTATTTCAGTAAAATCATGATTAAAAATATGCCTGACAATCATAATCAATTTAAAATGCCCACTGATTTAGAAATATAAACATAAACAAATCCGAAATAATTTCATCCGGTAGACGTTTTTTTATTATCGGTTTCTACAAATTAAAAAAAATGTATTGTTTACTTTTATATAAACATAATTTTACTTGATTTATAAATACTTTTATCCGATAAATTGGAATAAACTAAGTCAAAACAACTCCAAGCATTTTCGAAGTACATTTTGTACCGTATCTTACAGCCTCTTATATGCTGAGTAGATAAAGAAATAGCGATTGCGTATATCAAATTACCGATGCGATTGCGTATATTAAATATAACCCAGTTCATAATTAAAGCAAACAATAATACTGTTATAAGTGTTTTCAAAATTACAATTAAATGAACAAAGAAAGTGTGTAACGATTTAAGCTTACATAGTTAGGAATTTAATAAAACACTAAGGGATATCAGAAATGAATAATGGATCGGCACCAGAAACATGTATACACTGAGCACTTTGTTAGCCATTACCAATAAAATATTTTTAAAGATAAATCTGCTTCTGGCCCCTCTACCTGTAGTATAGATACATCGTATAAAAAGAAATTTCGTTTTTTTAAAGATGGCTTGTAACGTTTACATGTAAGTTGTTATGCAATATACCAATTCCATTCACTTGTTATGAAGGCTCAGAGGGAATAGGAAGGTATGGTGGCTGATGTGTGCCATGATGTATTTTCGCTTCGCGGGGCGCAAGGCAAAAACACGAAATCACTTTGTTTTTGTTTTTTTAGTTTTCGTCTAGGGAGAAGCAAGCCTACGACAAAATGTTGACTGTGTAGTGTTTTCGTGCAGCGCCCTGCGGGAGAAAATACGAAATGGAACAAAAAGCCATCATATAAGGGAGAGTTTTTAGATCACCTGTCACAAAGTGACAGGATGAGCTTTTGTGATCGCTTTTCGTCCGGCGTCCGTCCGTCCGGCGTCCGTCGTCCGTCCGTAAACTTTTGCTTTAAATGACATCTCCTCATAAACCACTGAGCCAATTTCATCCAAACTTCACAGGAATGTTCCTTTGGTGGTCACCTTTAAAAAATGTTCAAAGAATTTAATTCCATGCAGAACTCTTGTTGCCATGGCAACCGAAAGAAAAATCTTTAAATATCTTCTTTAAAACAACCCTAAGAGCTAGATCTTAGATATTTGGCATGAAACATCTTCTAGTGAATGTCTACCAAGTTTGTTCAAATAAAAGCCCTGGGGTCAAAATTGGCCCAGCCCCAGGGGGTCATTGATTTTCCCTATATGCATATAGTAAAAACTTAAAAAATTTTCTTTTAAAGAACCGTAAGAGCTAGAGCTTAGATATTTGGCATGAAACATCTTCTAGTGAATGTCTACCAAGTTTGTTCAAATAAAAGCCCTGGGGTCAAAATTGGTTCCGCCCCGGGGGTCATTGATTTTCCCTATATGCATATAGTAAAAACTTAAAAAATTTTCTTTTAAAGAACCGTAAGAGCTAGAGCTTAGATATTTGGCATGAAACATCTTCTAGTGAATGTCTACCAAGTTTGTTCAAATAAAAGCCCTGGGGTCAAAATTGGCCCCGCCCCAGGGGGTCATTGATTTTCCCTATATGCATATAGTAAAAACTTAAAAAATCTTCTTTTAAAGAACCCAAAGGGCTAGAGCTAAGATATTAAGCATGAAACATCTTCTAGTGAGTGTCTACCAAGTTTGTTCAAATTAAAGCCCTGGGGTCAAAATTGGGCCCGCCCCCTGGGGTCATTGATTTTCCCTATATGCATATAGTAATTAAAAACTTAAAAATCTTCTTTTAAAGAACCATAAGAGCTAGAGCTTAGATATTTGGCATGAAACGTCTTCTAGTGAATGTCTACCAAGTTTGTTCAAATAAAAGCCCTGGGGTCAAAATTGACCCCGCCCCAGGGGGTCATAGATTTTCCCTATATGCATATAGTAAAAACTTAAAAAATCTTCTTTTAAAGAACCCAAAGAGCTAGAGCTAAGATATTTAGCATGAAACATGTTCTAATGAGTGTCTACCAAGTCTGTTCAAATAAAAGCCCTGGGGTCAAAATTGGCCCCGCCCCAAAAACTTAAAAAAATCTTCTTTTAAAGAACTCAAAGAGCTAGAGCTAAGATATTTAGCATGAAACATGTTCTAATGGGTGTCTACCAAGTATATTAAAATAAAAGCCCTGGGGTCAAAACTGGCCCCGCCCGGGGGTGGTTCATTGATTTTCCTTATATGTGTATAGCAAAAACTTAAAAATCTTCTTTGAAAAAACCAAAATACTAGAGTTTAGATATTAAGCATGAAACATCTTTAAGTAAATATCTACAAAGTTTGTTCAAATAAAAGCCCTGGGGTCAAAACTGGCCCTGCCCCAGGTGTGTCATTGTTTTTAACTATATGTGTATAGTAAAAACTTTAAAAATCTTCTTTTTAAAAACCCAATGAGCTAGAACTTAGATGTATAACATGAAACATCTTCTTATTGGTGTCTACCAAGTCTGTTCAAATAAACAAATAAAAGCCCTTGGGTAAAAATTGGCCTGGGGGTGGGGGGGCCTATATACAGGTGAGCGACCTCAGGGCCATCATGGCCCTCTTGTTTTATAATTGCGCCGTGTTCAAGAAATAAAGAAGTAACAAGCAAGTAACAAGCAAAAATCATAGCAAACTCATAGTCGGAAGAGAACGATTATAATAAACTTGATAACAATAACTCGTGCCCACAGTCTTAAAAAAATCAAACGCGCCGCGTTGTGCGTCCGTTCATTTTGAAACAACGTATTATAACACATTGATATGATCTTTAATAGCAATCTTGATCTTTTTTATTGATTAATTGTTTCTCAAGTCATCTGACACCCTTGTCTAGCATAGTGATCAGCATTTTTGTGCATTGACAGCCAGTTATAATAAAACAAAATTATGAATCATGGTTTGTTTGAAATCCCCTTAAACTGAATGGGTGCATGAATCAGCTTTTATAAGTATATGTGCACTTCCTAGTACGTTTAACATGCACACTGCTAAAAATGTGAATTCTGAATCAAATTTTTTGGTTTTATATAATAATGAATTTGCCTTTTTTCGAAGTGGAAACATTATATTCCAATTTAAAAGTGATATCATTTTTATGATTTATGTCACCTAAGTAATCAATAACTCCCAAGACCCACATCAATCAAAGGGGTACGGCACCTTCTTGTATTTTTATTAAGCCATTTAAAAAAAAAATCTTTTTAATGTGAATATATGTATGAAAAAAAAATCATCCCTCCAACAAAATATAAATAATAGACAAGGGGAAGAGCTCGAGAGGATGAAAATGTTCACAAGCGCGTGTTAATGCCCTTACTGTGGCGCCATTTTGAATATTATTTTCTTGCTTTTTCGCATATGTGAAACAGCGCCATAGTAGGGGCATTAACACGCGCTCTCTTGAAAATTGTCATCCTCTCGAGTTCTTCCTCTTGTCTCTAATATTTATTTTGTGGTGGGGGGATTTATTTCATACATATATCCACATTCCAAATTTTAAAATATTTTAGGAAACAAAACATTAGCTTAATAAAAATATCCATTTAAGTTTGTGCGGTGCCAATATGACATCATTATGTAAAATATCCTTGGTAAATTATCGGTTCAATTCATAAAAACAGGTGGACAGTTTTTTATACTGTATGTAACTTTTATATTTCATTCATAATTATTTTAATTTTTATTAATATCCGATGTTTTTCGGAAAAGGCCGAGAAGATGCCATTGTATAATATAAATGTCATATTTAATTGATTTAATTATTTCTTCGTTTTCTGTAATTACATAGTGCTCTCCGGCCTGCCTTATCGTAGTAGTTCATATGTTTTATCACAAGTATTAGCATTTCCAAAAATGCTTGGAACCGACGTTCAGCCATGAATATAAAATAAATATTTCATTTTCTGCCAAATGCCTTTATTGTGTGTGGTCAACACAT